GCTTCAGTGAGGAAATCATAAACAACAAAGAGACCATCAATACAGATTGATTCTTCTTCTTGAGCAGAAGAACTACACAGAAGGGTTGCTGAAACGAAAGCCGTTATATTTGCTGATAGTGTGTGTAAAAAATCCCAAGGAAGGCGGCACAAAATTTCGAACGTAAACATGTCAATGTGTGCGGCCAACTCATTTTCAAACTAAAGGCAGCTTTCTTCTAAAACAGTATCTTATGAAGCGGTCAATAGAGTGGATTAGATGTTGTTTTTTGTGTTGCCTACCGCCACAAGCCGTGCACCGAAGTCAATGTAAGCTGGCAGTAGATTAAACTAATCATTTCAAATTACCCTAAGCACTCTAGCTTTTCTTTTTTTATGAATAAGAAGCCACAGGAGTCATCCGATCTACGCAGACAGAATCAGCAGTCATACCGATTCCATTTCAGCGGGCATGACCTTAAACAGTTCTCAATTGAACAATCAGGACTGATCATTGCTCAATATTATTGTCCTCAGCTCAAGCATTTTATTCAGACTGACTGTAATGCTAGGTCGGTCCCGAAAATTGTCGTTTGTTTCATTAAGGGTCTCAACGAAACCGTCATTAATCATCAATCAATCTGCGTTAGAATAAGAATGTTTGTAGATGTTGTGCGCAACAAGAATGCATCGCCAAATTTCGATAGTAATACCAAGAAAGGCGCATTTATTGAGGCTCACCATTATTCTTCGTTAAGAATTTGGGCACTGACTGAACTAATTGTGCTTCGCGGCATGCTGCATCTTGTGCAACACGAAGCCACTTGAAGCAGACTACCTGCCTCATTTCTTCCAAAGTAAGTAGTGTCCCCTTCAAAAATCATTCGCCACTGTGATAATAAAAATTTGAATCGCTAAATGTAACGTTGAAAAATGCCACTCAATTTTGTATTCAAATGCGTTCTTTGCGTTATCCTCTTCAATTTTCAGTAATGCTGAGTCTTGATATATTGCACAACTTTGTTGGATGGGTTTCAAACACGACCTTTTCCCTCTCTAGGTGATTATAGTGAAATTACCTTAGGCTATATTGAAAGGATAACTCGAAGAATCAATGAAAGTCAATAATCAAGATTTCCTTATCTGGCGTGACCCCAAATAAGCGTTATTATTATGAACGCAATAAAAAATGGAGTATTTTTGTTGTAAACGAATTCTTCTAGGTTTGACAATTCCTATCGTAGACTACAGCATTCACTTTGACAATCGCGAAAAATCTAGAAAATAAAATGATATGCAACAGAAAGACGGTGAAAATGTCAAATGCGCTTGTGGTGTCTTACAGTCACAAT